CGCACTTGACGCATTTGCCAATCGCGTCCTCGACTCCTGCTATATTCATGTCGTCGACGTGTTGGCTGCTAGGAGGTTCGGGATTCTCAGTTTCCTCATCATGCGAAGTAGGGTTGAGAACAAAACCTCTCGTCATGGCCCTGAGATCCAGCGAGAATGTCCTGGGGGCATCTTTGGCGCCCGTGCCTGGCGCCAAATCGGGGCTGTCCGTCACTGGGGGGGGGGGGCTGCGCCTACGTCGCAAGTTTTTTTGTGTTTTGTTTACCCGCGCGGCGTTCCGCAAATCGCATCGCAGGGTTTGCCAGAACGCATTGCGTGCCGCTTTGTTGTTTTACCCGCGCGTCGTTCTGCAGCCTCAAACTTCGATTTCCCACGTCGCTGCAAATTCGCATAGCGCGATTTTTCCTTTGGTCAAATCGTATCGGAAATTTTAGGCATCAAACACTTCCACTGCACGAATGCGCGCCCTGGCTGCGTCGTGGCCCGCGGCCCGTGGCCCAGTTGCCTCGCGGAGGATAGAGGAAGACAAAAGGTGGGGCCCAATAGGAGCCATCTCGTCTTGCAGGGGTAGGCGCCCCCCCGCAGTGGACAGACAGTTTGGGGGCCTACGAGGAGGGGGGTTAAGACAGGAGGGTGCGTTGCAACATCGGTGATGCATCCTGGCCTGGTCAATGGTAATCTCATCAACCGCCGCGAGGCCGATTGGTCTTGTCGCGGGTGGGCCTCCATGGGGGCAATGGCCCCCGAGTTCCCCATTGGGCCCCGCCACGGGACGCGGGATCACTCCTCCTCCTCCTCCTCCTCCTCCTCCTCATTCTCACCCCCCTGTGTTCCTTGGCCTTTTTGGCTCGAACTTTCATGGGCCCAGCCGCGCTGCACCTGCCGACTGCGTGATGCATGCCTGACGATTTCGGCCGAGCGCCGGGGCAGGTTGGCGCCGACGACGGCCACAGCAGCGACGAGCTGGGCCGGGTGCTGGGCCGGATCGGCATCGGCGGCGAGCTCGCCGTCACCGACGCCGACGAGCTGGGCGCTGCGCTTGCAAGCGTCGTTGACGAGGCACATGCTGAAGGGGCCCCAGGACACACACACATAAAGACACACAAACATAAGAATTCCCCATATTTTCCCATATTTTCTGGCTCTTTGTCTTCCCCCCCACTTCCCATACTTTCCCACATTTTCTGTGTCTGTGTGTTTCTTCCCCCCCTGACATGCATCGAAAGCTGGCGATCCGTGCGCCGCCGGAGGCCGGCCACCTGCAGCTCCTATTCCGAGCTCCAGGGCGGCCGACCGCCGACGGACAGCGCAAAACGCTGGCGCCCGGTTGTGTCTCTTTAGGGCCTGGACGTCGGCGACGGCACCTCGGACGGCGGCGTCGACGAAAACGGGCTCCGCCAGAGGCAACCCTCCTCCTCCTGCTCCTCCTCCTCCTCCTGCTCCTCCTCCTGCTCCTCCTCCTCCTCCTGCTCCTCCTCCTCCTCCTCCTCCTCCTCCTCCTCCTCCTCCTCCTCCTCCTGCATCGCGCGACGCTCCTCTCAGAGGAGCAGATCGCGCCCAAATAGAGGAGGAAGGTCGCGCGGGCGAGCGGCCCCCCCCCCAGCGTCTGCCGTCGGGCCAACTGCGCCCGCGGCCGCCGCCGAGCTCCCTGCTGGAACGTTGTCATCAGATCGCGGCAGAGGTTGCAGCGCTAGCTAGCACGGCCCGACTCCAGAGTCGGCCAGCACGGAGACGTCGTCGCGACCACCCTGTTGGGAGAAGGTGCGCAGCACATCGCGTCTCTGGCGGCGAAGGCCACTGAGGCGGGCCTCGACCGCAAGCACTTGCGAACGACTATCACGGCCGCCGCTGGCAGACGTTGGCATATGGAGCGGGCGTGTTGGCACAAAATTGAGTCGTCCATTGTTGATGCGTCGTCCTCTGGAATCGAGCTCATCGCGCATGTGGACTACGGCACTTACGGCGTGGACTCGCGGCTTCTCGCTCGGAGGTTTTGGAGCACGGTGGCGAATTCAGCCCCCGCGTCGGATGGCACCGGCAGCCCCGACGCAGAAGCCATCGTGAGCCAATTGAGTACGGAGTGGAATGCACACGTGAGGCCAAAAATCGCATGCGGAGCAACGAAGGCGCAGCATTCCGCTAATGTGGTGGGCATATTTTTCCAAATGGGTGGTGTTGTGAATTATTTGGTCGGTCGCGTGTCGTCGCTGCTCGGATCGGTCTACGGACGAAGCCCTGCCTGGCTTCGTCCCTAGGACAACCCGACTGGCTGAGACCGATGGCGCCACGTACAATGACAGAACCGAGAGGGGATTGATGTCTGGACGCGAAGGCTGGTAACATTTGCACTCTCACTGCGAGTTTCACTTCACCGCCAACATGTACGGACAAATGTTGTCTACGGAGCGAGTTCCAGCATACATTACAGGCCTTGTGAACACGACCCTCGCGTTGAACCAGTTCTGCATGATGGTTCGTTTCAGGGAGTCGGCGAGGACACGCATCAGGAACAAGCTGGTTATGCATGGCACCATCTACTTGGATGTGGGCGCCCAGCACAACAGAAAGTTCGTTCTGGACACGTTCATTGGCGTCGGCCCTGGCATCAACGAGAAACGCGCATCCTTTTTGAAATTGGCCCCTGGCGACCGGCGAGTTCGAGGCAAATGCAGATGGCCTGCAATAGTTATAGCAGACACGTTGCTCCCGCTAGCGTACTCCCACGCGCCGTTCGAGTTCCCGGGGAACCGATGGACTGGGCCTGATAAAACAATG